GAGAAGGAGAAGGAGAAGGAGAAGGAGAAAATCCCAGGCTCATTCCAGAAGGGAGTGACAGCTTGGGAGGTGCAGGGTAGGGGAGTAGATAGGGATAGTGGCTGGGGCATCAGGATTTTTTCAAAGTTCCCCAGGCAATTTGAATACACAACCAGAGCTGACAAACTCCAATCTAAAAATGTTTGGGCCATCCATTATTGCCTCTGTGAGTGCTGGTTCCTGCCCATGAAGTATTTAAACACAATTCAGTCTCTCACTACAAAAATCCCTCCCTCCACCTCACTTCCCTCAATGTTTCCCAAATCTCTCCTCATGATGCATTACCCTTTATACTTCTTTAATTTGATTTACTAAAACAAAGTTAAGAACTTTTACATCTATGTTCATGAGGGATATTGGACTTTAATTATCTTATACACTTTTTTGTCTGATTTGTAGTATCAGGATCATTCTGGTCTTATGGAATGTGCTGGGAAGCATAATTTCCTCTTCCATTTTCTGCAGATGCTTGTGTAGAACTGGCACCATTTCTTCTTTCAATGCTTGGTAGATCTCACAAGTGAAACTGAATGGACTGAAGGAAGGCTGTTAACTAAAATTCCATTTTCTTTAATAGATATAGGGCTACTCATGCTATCTAATTCTTCTTGAGTAATTTTTGGTGGTTTTGTCTTTTGAGAAATCTCTCTATTTCATTTAAGTCAACTGATTTATTTATAGTTATTTATATATAAATTATACATGTATAATTTATATATAGTTATGTATATATAATTCATATATAGGTACCTATAATATCCCTTTATTAACTTCTTAATATCCGTAGAAAGAGTACTCTCACTTTTGATATTGGTAATTACTGCCTTTGCTCTTTGTTTTCCAGATCAGAATAGCTGGAGATTTACTGACTTTATTCAACTTCTCAGAGAAAATAGTTATTGTTCCATTTATTTTTTTGGATTGTTTTTCTGTTTCCTAGTTCATTGATTTCCACTCTGATTTATATTACTTCATTTCTTCTGCTTACTTTGAGTTTCATTTGCTTTTCTTTTTCTAGTTTCTTAAGCTGAAAGCTGAGGTAATTTGTTTGAGATCTTTCTTCTTTTCTATATATAGATGTTTAGTGCTATAAATTTCCCTCCAAATGCTGTTTTAATCAGCCTCTCACAAGCATTTGTGTACTGTATTTTCATTCCATTCAGCTCAAAATCCTTCCACATTTCTACTTTTATGTATTTTTTGACAAACAGGTTATGTAGAAGCGTGTTGTTTATTTTCCAAATATTGGGACATCTTTCACATATTTGTCCGTTATTATTTCTAACCACTACTGTGGCTGGAGAACATATATTTGACAGTATATGAATCCTTTCACATTCACTGGGTTTATCGTTGCGGTCTAGCACATATTCTGTCTCGGTAAAGCCCCAGTTACAATTTAAATAGTGTGTTCCACTATGGTTTGACAGAAGGTTCTATAGATACTGATCACGGAAAGTTGGTCGGTAGTACTGTTTAAATCTTCTATATCCTTAATGATTTTTCTCTCAACTTCTCTTATCAATAATGAGAGAGCGGGGTGAGATCTCTGATTACACTTGTAAATTTTCCCATTTTTGCCTTGCAGCTCCCTTTCCCTTCACTACGGTCTGGAACCTCTTCCCAGGCAGCGGGCGGGGGCATCTCATTTAGGGATCTCCTAATTTATTTCCCATCTCTTAGGAATCTGGGTCTTCTATTGCCTCATAGTCAATGCAACTTTTCAAATATATATTTTGTCTCTCTTTTTCAGGTAGGAAGATCAGTCTGCACCCTGCTACCCCATCTTGGCTGGAACCTGAAATCCAGGCAGTGACTTTTAACATCTACTTCTTTCTCATCTTTATAAAGTCTCATAAAATCTTCTCCAAGATCTCTCTTGGATGTACTAGTTACTCTCCATTTTCATTGTCTTTTCCTTAGTTCGACTACCAACTATTCCTTCTGATTTGTTACAGCCAGTGGTCCCCAGTGGGTTTTCCTCTACTGGTTTTCCCTTAACCACTTTCCAGTCCATTCATCAGCACCAGAGAGTCCTTTATAAAAGCACAACCACATCATGCCACGGTTTCCACATTTAAATTCTGTAGGGCTTCTGTTCATTCAAAGCCGCCGTAAGAGGATGAGGAGATAAGCCACAGACTGGAAGATATGTCTAGTATCTAATATTTATCTAATCAAGAAATAATTATACACAGAATGTTGAAAGGTTTGAAAACAATTAAAATACAGGAAAATCAACCCCAAAGAAAAATTATTAACCAGCCATTCACAAAAATTACCCCCCCATACCTATGAAAACATGTTCAACCTCCCATTAACCAAGGAAATGCAATTTGAAACTCTAATGATACCTCCCAACACAAGAAGGTATTGGTAAGTCTGACAATATCGAGTGTTGGTAAGATAGAGAGCAACAGAAATCATGAACGCTGCTAGAGAGCATATCATTTGGTACAACCACTCTAGAGAACAACTATATCTGAAAACTTGCATCCCCTAGAAGCCACCAATTCTATTCTTAGGTTTTTAGCCAAGAAGACCTGTTACATAGACAAAAAAGATATGAAGATAAGAATGTTCTTAGCGGTATTGCTTCAAATAGCAAAAGAAACATTTATGGGCCCATCAAAGGGGAATGACTGTGTGTGCGATGAAATATTATGCAGCAGTGAAAATGAACAAATCACAGAAACTGGTACTATTATGGGCGAATCTAACAAACACGATATAGAACAGATACCAGTTACAGAAAATTTCAGGCAATGTAATATCAATTTTAGATAGCCTAGAAGTATGCAAAATACTTTGTTTGCTTAAAGATACATACCTCTTATTGCACAAAAGGGAATGTGAGGTAAAATTAAGAGCTGATCAAGGTGCCTGGGCGACTCAGTCGGTTTAGTGTCTGACTTCGGATCCGATCATGATCTCACGGCTTGTGAGTTCAAGCCTGGCATCAGGCTCCGTGCTGACAGCTCGGAGCCTGGAGCCTGCTTCGGATTCTGTGTGTCCTCTCTGCCCCTCCCTGACTTGTGCCTCGTCTCTCAAAAATAAATAAACATTAAATTTTTTTTTTTAAATTAAGAGCCTTGGGGCGCCTGGGTGGCCCAGTCGGTTGAGCGTCCAACTTCGGCTCAGGTCATGATCTTGAGGTCCGTGAGTTCGAGCCCCGCATCGGGCTCTGCTGACAGCTCAGAGCCTGGAGCCTGCTTCTGATCCTGTGTCTCCCTCTCTCTGCCCCTCCTCCACTCATGCTCTGTCTCTCTCTCTCTCTGTCAAAAATAAATAAACTTTAAAAAAAAAATTAAGAGCCGATCTTAGAAAACACGAGTCAGGAAGAGAGGTAGTGAGATGGAGGGGAAGGGAGCCAGTGAGAGGTGCAGTGTCAAAGCACCTTCCTTGCTGGGTAAGCAGAGCTTAATCCTCCAGAGAAACCCTGTGTCCCAGGATATCTCATCGGAGAGGTGAGGGAGCTGGAGTATTTATGCACCAACTCCCGTCCATATTTGTTTGAGGGCTGCTGGGAGGAGGTATTGATCCCCGGGTACTTTTGGCACACGGTGATGGGGACAAAGTAGACTTTGATGGCCAGAGCAAGTCCTCAGACAAAACAAAAACAACGAAAAAATGCTATTGCTGAAAACTGGGAGTTGATCCCAAGACTGCACTGGAATAGAAAGTGCGGGGCAGAGCGCTGGGAGCTGCGGCTGTAAGTGAGGGGCTAAGAGCAGAAAACCAAGCAAGGGGATGAGAACACAGCATGAAGTACAGTGGTTACTTTTGAGGGACAAGAAGGGATTTTAACCGAGGAGAGACACACAAATGTCCCTGTCCTTTATTCCTGAGGCCAGGAGGTGGGTCCTTGCAGGAAACAGCAGGCACACTCGATTAAGTTTTCAGGGGGCTGTTTACAAAGGTAAGGTCAGGGTGCTGGGACACCACAAGGGCCCTTGGGGTCTTTCCCACCGGCTGAGCTAAAGAGGCAGTTACCAGGAACAAAAGGGCTGCATAGATGGAGCCTGACCTAATCAATCCCTCACTCGCTGTGTCCTCCAGTCTCCTGCTGGGCTCCCCCTGGACGAATTCAAGAGGAAGCCAGTGGGGGGGTGCAGAGGGGTCCACCCACTAGAGCACAGATCAAGCCAACAAGACTCCACCTGGAGGCACAGAGATGTTGAGCCCAGGTGGTGTGGGTCGTATTCTTTTTCATATTCTTGAATGCCTTACATACTGCTGCATACTCGTTGAAAACGTGTCCTTCACGTGTCACATTGCCCGGCACATAAACGCCAAAACCTGATGTGGCTTCCTGGTCTGCATCCCGCCCCAGCCCTTCAGTCTCAGCCAATGTGGGCTCACCGGCTTCCCTTTTGTCGCCACTCTGCTCCTTTGAGATCCTGTGTGTCATCTGTCCTCTCCCGCCTCAGGGTGTCCATGCGTGCTGTTCCTTTGGCGTGAACTCGTTTTCTCAGCCCTAGCTTTGCTCATCCGCTGTTACACCTCAGGCTCCAGTTTCCATGTCCCTGTTCCCTCACACCGCCAAAGTCCAACTGGTGGATACACCCGTGTGTGTGCGTCTCCTTGCTCATTACCCTTTCTTAGCTTGTTTATGAAATCACCAGCATTGGCATCGTGCACCCAATGTCTGTGATCTCCTCGGCTTCTCGGGCAACACAGACAAAATAAGAAACCTGATTTTATTCATCGTATAGTATTTACTGTCCCATCGGAGACTTACACGTTGTTCGAGCCTTGCTCAGAGGGAAAACAGTAACCCTGGTATTGCTGTTGGATTGGACTGGAACAAGTTTGTATTAGTATCAGAAACCCTAGTACTCACACGTCTTGTCCAGGTGTCTCGCCTCAGGATGGCAACACAACCATGCTTATTGAGCCCCAGGGCCTTTGCTCCTTCTCGAATCCAGACGTGTCATCACTGCCCCCAAAAGGAGCAGGGAGCTTGGAAGGTCTCCAGTTACCAAAGCGACACTTCTCAGGGACTCTGGGCTGCCATCAGAAGGCGAAGCATGTGGCTCCGGGAGCCTACAAGAGATCAGGTGACGTACAGACTCAGCAGAACAAATTGTGAAGCCAGAAGGTGAACGCCCACTCTTTTGCGCTCTTCAACCTGATGGAGAATGCGGGAGACAAAGTTTGCACCCTTGACCACAATTCTGCTTGAATATTATGCATCACTGTGGCTAATAGCCTCTGGACATCGGGTCAGCCCTCTGCAATTGTAACCTATGAAAATATATCAGCAGGGGCACCTGGTTGACTCCATCAGTTAAGCGTCCGACTCTTGATTTCGGCTCAGGTCATGATCTCACGGCTCGTGGGATCGAGCCCTGAGTCGGGCTCTACACTGACAGCACAGAGCCTGCTTAGGACAGCACAGAGCTCTGCCTCTCTCTCTCTCTGTGCCCTTCCCCCAACTTACACACAAGTGCAGTCTCTCTTTCTCTCTCTCAAAATAAATAAACATATAAACAAAATATAATAAACTCAAAATAAGTAAATACACAAAGTAAGTGCAAATAAACAAACTCCATTCCACGGAACAAAATGATGGGAGAGTGGGGTAGGGTGGTAGGACTGAGCCAGAGACCCTGCAGGGAGCCAGAGCCTGGGCCCCCTACCCTGGCATCCTTGGAGCCAAATTAGATTCGAGGCAGGCCAGATGGAGGGGCCAAGGGCTGAGCGACGCCCTCGCAGAAAATCCCTGGATTCCCCAGGCCACCAGCAACTTCCTCTGCCAGGAACCCAGCATAACGGGCATCGGGGCACCGATCCACGGGGGCCAGGGTCTGCCACAGGAAGGAACCACTGGCTGACAAAATGGTGATCCTCTCCTCCTATTATAAATCGATACCTGCTCCTTGTAGGAAATTTAGACAATGCGGAAGAGCACTGCAAGGAAACGGATAATTACCCAAAACACCACTTCCCGGGCTTTCCTTCCACCTTTCTTTTTCTTAAGAGTGTGGATCTGCGCGTGTGTGCCCGCACATCGCACCTGCTGTGTGTTGTGGCAGACGTGGCTGCGTAGCGGGCTGGTTTCGCAGGCGTTGCGGTGGGGGTGTGTTCTGTGTGCAGCAGGATTCAGGGCGTGTACGTTGGGTGTGGCCGGCGCGCGCCTGCGCTCTGTGTGCACTGCGCGACTACGGCGGGTGCGGCCACGGTGTTAGTCTGGCAGCGGTCACGTGGTTGTGCGCCTGGGCGTTGTGTGGGGTGAGCGTGCGTAGTTCGCGTACCATGTGTTCTCGGTGTCGTGTACCGTTTCACGCGTGTGCATCATGTGGGATGTGTGGGATGGGTGTGTGTCGTACGCACCGTGCTGCGCGCGCGCGCTTGTGTGTGTGTGTGTGTGTGTGTGTGTGTGCGTGAGACTGGGGGCAGCAGAGTGGGCCGACGGGCTGGGCATTGTAGCCACTTCAGAACTATCCCCTCTTTACGGCTACTGATATGGATCCAGGTATTAAATTGGCAAATACTTTCCTTTAAAAGTAAATAACTGGATTGGAGCATTTAAAAGGAAGTTTATTTTTAAAAAGAATGTAAAGTGAATAATCCTGGAGGAAGTCTGGGCCGCCCGGCGCCAGAGGAACTTTGCATTCCTTCTCTCCTTCTCCATGATTCAGGGATACAAGGTCGGAGTGTTTCTTCCAGAAACTCGGGCTCCGTGACAGGAGGCTACTGCAAGTATTCATAAATGGATCAGATGGAATTAGAGGAGCCCCGCTCTCCTGCCCTCTGAGGAGCCGGCCTAGACGTGGATCACCCTCTGGCCTCCGGGGCGCGGGACCCGTGGGCTCACCTGACTTGGGGCGCCTCCCGGCAGGATGCGGGAACAGCCCCACACCCTGGCTCTGACGCTTGTGTAACTAGTGTCTCCCGAGAGGCCCACAGGCAGCGGGCCTCCTCCCGGGGGGAAAGCCCACCACCCCGAGGATGAAGCAGAACACCCCATCTCCGCCATGCTTCGGCCTCCCCACACTCTTCACCTTTGCACGCAGAGGGGGAGATTGGCTCAGGCCGGTGGGAAAGAAGCCTCGGAGGCCTTGACCTCGGTGTGAACCCAAGGCGCCCTGTGACCGAGCCTCCAGTGACCGGGAGGCCGGGCCCCAACCCCAATGGTGGTGTCCTCCCGGGCCCTCCGCAGACTTCCATAACTGTCACTGGCAAGACCCCGCGGAAAACATTTTGTACGATGTCTGGAAGCTTCCACATTGCTTTTCTCCACACGCATGAACCAACCTGTGCAGGTGATATTTTCATGTTGCCAAGCCAGGGGCCGCATGTGTGTCTCAGGAGGGTTGGCCACTCCGGGGGACGTTGGGTATCTGGAGAGCTGGGTCAGGTGGGTTTACCTTAGAGTTTCTCATGCTTTAACCAGCAGGTGAGCCCTTCCCTAGCATCGCATGGTTGTTAAGGGACAGAACCGACATTGAACGCAGGTGTTGCGATCCCGGCATTCCTGCACCTTCCGTGTGGTCTCCGGGGGGTGCCCTGTCCCCACCTCCCCCGCTTCGGGTGCAAACCTGCACCCACCAAGAGTCCCCAGCTCTGTGGAGACGCTCTCCCTCTGGAGAGCCGCGAGCTGGCCACGCCTTTCCAGGCGGAGATCAATTTCTCTCTCTGAGACAGGCAGGGAACATAATGAATGAACAAGACCTTAAGGACAAAGGAGAGCAAACCATATTTTTCTTTTCTTTCGAGATAAAAATAATATGCCTGCACGTCAGAATCTCCCATGACAGAGCTAATGTCCAGGAGCAAAACAAGAAAAAAAACAAAACAAAACAAAACAAAAAACCCAACCTCCTATTGCTAATGCCAAGGTAACAATGGGCCCCTCTGACGACCAAATAGCCCCCAATCCCTCCCGAGGGGAGCCGAGCCAGGACGCCTAGGAGAGCTCTGGAGGAAATTCTTTTGCTTCATTCTACTACTCTTCGTGAAGTGCGGCCAGAAAATATCTGTAAAAATTAACCTAAAACTTAATGGCTTATGTAAGAATGCCTTAATAAAAATATGTTGGCAAGGTTATTGAACTGTACAGCTACGCCCCTCCCACTCGGTTCTTTTCTGCCTAATTTCTGTCTAAAGCTTATTCAGCAAACCCAAATGCCAATGCTCTCTTTCAATTTCCACTTCTTTGAACCTGCTAATTTACGAATAAGAAAGGATTTATTTGTGTTATTAGCTACATGTAACCTCTTGTCGAAGACGTAGTTTTAAATACTGAAATCCTGAGATGCCCCGAGATCCACCAAATATCTGAAGAATGACTTTGATTTTTTTTTTTTTCCTGCGAGCTGTGTTTGATTTACATCAATTAGGGCCTCCACATAAGGTATCATATAACAGGAAGGCTAATAACCCAGAAATAACCTCATTAAAAGAGACAGCATATCAGTCTAAACAGAATGAACTCTAAGCAGAAAAATTAGTGACCTGGAAAGTAACAGGAAGAGGTAATGGCGGCACCAAGAAAAAATACATTCCCGTTAGCGAGTCAAAGGAGAAATCACCAGCAATAAAGTAAAAATACAATAGAAGCAGAAGCGGAACATTTTTTTTTAATGTTTTTCATCTATTCAAATCCTCGAACATGCAATTTATTTTCCCCCAGTCAAAAATAATCTCCGAAATCATGCGTGTGTTCCTTGTAGGCTGGAACCCGGAGACTCCGCACCCCGCCCGCTCACGTGTTGGGCAGACTGACCACATCTCCATGGCCCAGCAGGCTCTGGGGCTCTGGGTTTTCCTGCCATCAAGGACAGTTTTGCAGGTTGGCAAACCTCTCTTTGACCATGACCCACCTGATGCCAGTTCGCACCAGGTCTTTTCCCCACGCCGGGCTCTATTCTATGGCCCAAACCATCAGAGCAGCAAAGTTCTCCCCTCGGCCCGGCCATACAGGCTCCCAGCGACCTCCTCTGGATTCCCACACTACGGGAATTTTACAAATAAAAAGTTTGCCAAGAAAATGATTACATAAAGCCTCACACATGTGGTTTGGGGAAAGAAAGAATGAACGAACAGGAAGAAGGAAGGAAGGAAGGAAGGAAGGAAGGAAGGAAGGAAGGAAGGAGAGAAAGAGAGAAAGGAGTTGTTTCAGAGGCAGGGTATTTCTAAGTGTAAGAATTGGAAGGAGGAGCTAGATATGCCACCCTTGAACTAGTAGTGTGTTAGCCCCAAATAACCCACTCTGGGCCACCTCCAGGGCCTCTGGGCATTGGGACCAATAAGGACATTGAGTCCCTGGTCATTGAGTCCGAGTCGTTCCTCCCCCACCCCACCCCTCTCTGGCAAGTGGGTCCATTAGCGTTCAGAGTGCTGGGCCCCCCAGGAGGAGACCTGATCTGGGAGTGAGGTGGGAGAGACAAGGAAAGGGTGAGAGTGGACGACTCTCTGAAAAAGTCTGACAGGAAACCTGCTGCTTCCTGCCGTCAATCCCCTGGCTCCCCCGGCTCCTCTGTCGCCTGGGGAACCATGCAGGCAGATGGGCATGTAACCATTGGACACGTGGCATGGACCCCAGGGTCGGTACATGGCTTTGAGGTCACATCCCCCTTTCCTTCCCCAGGTGAACCCTCTAATCAGTGCCCCCCAGCTTGCCCACACAAGCCCAGCACAGCCTTCTCTCCTTTGTCCTCATGCCCTTTCCTGGCCCCGCTGTCCTCAGCCAGAACCTTCCTTCCTGGCCTCCCATCCTCACTGACAAAGCATTCAAACACCAGCTCCCCTTCCTTCCTGACGGCATGGGCCAACAAGCTCTCCGTCACTTCCAGCCTCACCTCCTCCCTAACCCCGGAATCATGGGATCCCTCCCTTTTTTTAATCTGTCACTGTTGTGGTTGTTGTCATTCCTTAACTATTCCCGAACGATGGCTAAAGCAAACCCTGCTTCTCTAGGACAGGGACCATGGACTTGGCTGCCTGCACGGGCCAGGAAGGGAGCTCAGAGCAGGAGCCTGAGTGAGGATAGAGACAATGCAGGGGCTCAAGGGGGCCAGCTGTTGCCATGTGGCGAGGTTGGACCAATGCGGCCCAATGTTCCCTTTCACAAAAAGAAAAAAGAAATTGAAACAAGTCACTAGGGTTTGTTTTTTTTTTTTTTTTTTTTTTTTTTTAATGTCCTAGGATTGGCAACCAATCCAATAGAAGTTTGATGCATCGGTTGGCCAACCAGTCTGCTGGTGGCCAGCCCAGCCCTTGGCCTGTAGGCTGTGTGCTCCCTCCCAGCAGTTGGAGGGCAGCTCCTTGCGGGCGGTAGGCGCCCACCTCTCCTACAGCCCACACGGCTGTGGCCCAGGGCTGGGAAGACGTCACAGGCTGGGGACAAGCTGGGGTCATCTTGCGCCTCATCTCCCAGGAGGAGACAAGGCTTCCTCCCCATGCTCCCACCCTGAGGGTGGGGCCATCTTGGCTTTTCTCACAGCATCATTAAGGCAAAGAAAACAACCATAAAGTGTTTCATTCCACTCTGAGGAGTGTCAGAAGAGCTAAGAGCTTCTTAAGTAGATTCCTTCCAAGCCATTTGGACCCCTTCTATAAATAAAGCTTTAGACAATTTCGGAAAAGCATATTTATTTATCTGATGGATCACAACGGCTGCTTCGGAGCCTTTAGCCCTGTGGTGTGTTCCTCAAGCACTTAGCTCCCCTCCACCTAGTTAGGCCTCTTTCTGGGCAGCAAAAATGAAGGTTAACCCCTTGGATGAGCAGTCAGTCCTCCTCACAGAGGGCCTCGCTCCGATCCGAGCCATTAACACGGAGGCGGCAGCAGATGCCAAGGGGGAAATTATTAATAAGCAGTGGCTGAATGACTCCAAGCCAGTGAAAACATTTCAAAAGTGGCTAACGGCTAAAGGAAAGGGGCGGAAGGAAGGGAGGAGGAAACCACTGTGTGTTTTTCTCAAAACAGAGGGGGGGGCGTGGGGAAGAAAGAAGAAAGAAAAGGGAAGGAAAGAAAGAGGAAAGAAGAACAGGGAGACGTGGACACGCGACTACGGGTTTCACCTGCCCCGATTTCTGGCACCACAAGCTTTCCTTGGGTCAAATTGTGTGGAGGAAAAAGCCTTCTCAGCCTCAGCTCTATCAATATTGGGAGGCTGGAAGGTTCTTTGTTGTCGGGGGCTGTCCTGTGTATTTTTAGGACGCTTTGCAG